CATGATAAAAACTCTCAGCAAAATAGGAACAGAAGCGAAATTCCTCAACATAATTAGGGGCATTTATACAAAGCCAACAGCCAACATCATCCTAAATGGAGAGAGTCTGAAAGAATTCCTCTTGATAATGGGAACCAGACAAGGATGCCGTTTATCACCGCTCTTATTCAGCATTGTGCTGGAGGTCCTAGCCAGAGCAATTAGGCAAGAAAAAGAAATAAAGGCATCCAAATTGGTAAAGAAGAAATAAAAGTATCTCTATTTGTAGGTGATATGAGTTTATACAAAGAAAACCCCAAGGAATCCTCAAGAAAACTACTGGAACTAATAGAAGATTTCAGCAAAGTACCAGGGTACAAGATAAACATACAAAAATCAGTTGGATTCCTCTACACCAACAAAGAGAACTTCAAAGAGGAAATCATCAAATCAATACTGTTTACAATAGCCCCCAAGAAGATAAAATACTTAGGAATAAATTTAACCAGAGACATAAAAGACCCAAACAATGAAAACTGCAAGACACTAGTGGAAGAAACCAAAAGGGACCTACATAATTGGAAAAACATACCTTGCTCATGGATAGATAGACTCAACATTGTGAAATTGTCAATTCTACCCAATGCAACCTACAGATACAATGGAATCCCAATCCAAATTCCAATGGCATGTTTTCATGAGATGGAGAAACAAGTCACCAACTTCATATGGAAAGGGAAAAGGCCCCAGATAAGTAAAGCATTACTGAAGAAGAAGAACAAAGTGGGAGGCCTCACACTACCTGATTTTAGAACCTATTATACTGCCACGATAGTCAAAACAGCATGGTACTGGTACAACAACAGATACATAGACCAATGTAACAGAATTGAGAATCCGGACGTAAATTATCTACCTAAGAGGAGCTGATATTAGACAAAGGCCCAAAGTCCGTTAACTGGGGAAAAGACAGCCTCTTTAACAAATGGCACTGGCATAACTGGATATCCATCCGCAAAAAAATGAAACAAGAGCCATACCTCATACAAGCACAAAACTAACTCAAAATGGATCAAAGACCTAAATATAAAATTGAAACCGATAAATATAACAGAAGACAAAATACAGAAAAATACAGAAGACAATGCTAGGAGCCCTAATACTTGGCATAAAGAGAATATAAAACACAAGTAATAATGTACAAACACCGGAAGAAAAAGTAGATAACTGGGAGCTACTAAAAATCAAGCACTTATGCTCATCAAAAGACTTCACCAAAAGAATAAAAAGATAACCTACAGACTGGGAAAAAATTTTTGGCTATGACAAAATCCGATCAGTATCTAATCTCTAAAATCTACAAGATACTGCAAAACCTCAACAACAAAAAGACAAGTAACCCAATTAAAAAATGGGCAAAGGATATGAACAGGCACTTCACCAAAGAAAATATCAGGTGGCTAAAAGACACATGAGGAAATGCTCACAATCATTAGCCACTAGAGAAATGCAAGTCAAAACCACAATGAGATACCATCTCACCACAACAAGGCTAGCATGAATCCAAAAAACACAAAATAATAAATGTTGGGGAGGTTGTCGAGAGACTGGAACACTTATACACTGTTGGTGGGAAAGTAAAATGCTACAACTTTGGAAATCGATTTGGCACTTCCATAAAAAGCTAGAAATACAAGTACCATATGATCCAGCAATCCCACTCCTTGGAATATATCCTACAGAAATAAGAGCCATCACACAGATATATGCACACCCATGTTCATTGCAGCACTATTCATGACAGCAAAAAGATGCAAACAACCTAGGTGCCTATCAGGGGATGAATGGATAAACAAATTATGGTATATTCACACAATGGAATACTATGAAACGATAAAGAACAACGATGAAGCTATGAAACATCTTATAACATGGAGGAATCTGGAAGGCATTATGCTGAGTGAATTTAGTCAGTCGCAAAAGGACAAATACTGTATAAGACCACTATTATAAGAATTCAAAAAAAGGTTTAAACACAGAAGAAAACATTCTTTGATGGTTGCGAGGGTAGGGAAGGAGGGAGATGATATTCACTAACTTGATACTAGACAAGAATTATCATAGGTGAAGGGAAGGACAGCACACACTACAGGGCAGGTCAGCCCATCCAGACTAAAGCAAAGCTAAGAAGTTTGCTGAATACAACCAAACACTTCAAGGGACAGAGCAGCAGGGGCAGGGGTCTGGGACCATGGTTTCAGGGGACATCTAGGTTAATTGGCACAACAAAATTTTTTAAGAAAATGTTCTGCATCCCATTTTGGTGAGTGGCGTCTGGGTCTTAAAAGCTAGTGAGCAGCCATCTAAGATGCATCAATTGGTCCAACCCAGCTGGAGCAAGGGAGAATGATGAATACCAAAGACACAAGGAAAATATTAGTCCAAGAGACAGAAAGGGCCACATAAACCAGACTCCATCAGCCTGAGACCAGAAGAACTAAATGGTGCCCGGCTACCACCAATGATCACCCTGACAGGGAACACAACAGAGAGTCCCTGATGGAGCAGGAGAAAAGTGGGGTGCAGAACTCAAATTCTAGTGAAAAGACCAGACTTAATGGTTTGACTGAGACTGTAGATACCCTGGAAAAGATGCCCCTCGGACTCTCTCAGCCCAAAAGTAAAACCATTCCCGAGGCCAACTCTTCAAAGATTAGACTGGACTATGGGACATAAAATGATATTCATGAAGAGTGTGCTTCTTAGCTCAAGTAGATACATGAGACTAAATGGGCAGCTCCTGTCTAGAGGTGAGATAAGAAGGCAGAGAGCGTCAGGAGCTGGTTGAATGGACATGGAAAATCCGGGGTGGAAAGGAGGAATGTGCTGTCACAGTATAAGGAGAGCAACTAGGGTCACATAACAATGTACGTATAAATTTTTGAATGAGAGACTAACGTGAATTGTAAACTTCACTCAAAGCACAGTGAAAAAAAGAGAAAATTATTTAAAAAAACACACCCACACCCACACAATGAGATACCTTCTCTCCCTGGCATTACTGGTACGAATAAAAAAAACAGATAATAACGAATGTTGGAGAGGCTGTGGGGAGATTGGAACCCTTATGCACTGCTGGTGGAAATGTAAAATGGTACAATCATTTTGGAAAACAATATGGCTCTTCCTTAGAAAGCTAGAAATAGAAACACCGTAAGATTCAGCAACCCCACTCCTAGGAATATATCCCAGGGAAATAAGAGCCATCACATGAATAGACATACGCACACCAATGTTTATTGCAGTATTGTTCATAATGGCAAAAAGATGGATACAACCTAGATGCCCATCAGCAGATGAATGGATAAAAAAACTATGGTGCATACACACAGTGGAGTACTATGCAACGATACAGAACAATGATGAATCTGTGAAGCATCTCATAACATGGATGAATCTGGCGGGCATTATGCTGAGTGAAATAAGTCAATCACAAAAGGACAAATATTGTATGAGATCACTGCTATAAAAACTCATGAAAGGGTTTACACACAAAAGAAACAATCTTTGATGGTTATGAGGGAGGGGAGGGGCGGGGATTAAAAAAAAGACATATCCTGTAGTACCTTTCCAAAAACCCTTCTTTTTCATGGAACTGCTTCTATATTAGAATTATATCAGTATGAAAATGTAATTGACAAGTTTCAATCCCAGAATCTGTGGAAAAATATCAAATCCAGGCCTGAAAAAGACATACTCAAAGGTCACAGCTCTACATGAGACACAAAGGTTATAAAGAAATGCTCTCCTTATTCTCTCATCTCCAATAGAGTTAGAGAATATTAGGGACAGCGACAAGGAAATACTCTGAGTCTTCAGAAATGTTATATCATCAGATGACAGCCACACAGAGAATCATCCTTGCCTATGTCATCTGCGCTTTGTACATTTCCATAGCACACCATTCTTACAGGCAAATAATCAATCAACAATCAATATTTATTGAATATCTAGCAAGAAATGCCAAAGGAGAATGTCAAGAATAATCCTTTGGTAGCTCTATCACTCTAACGTCAGTAGAGGATGGACACTTTTTTTCTTCCTATCCCTTGTGCACTTGTAACACTAGCAAAAGCAAGTGTTCTTAGGGTTCTACCAATAAAAAATAAAGTAGTAATTGTTACAGTAACAGCAAGACATATTTACTACTTACAGTGACCCATGTACTATAAACAAGTACTTTTAGGGCTTAAGTAATTTAATTTTCATAACAATCTTGTGTGGTAGGTACCATTATTTTTACCATCCTAGGGACGAAGGGATTTAGGCACAGAGATTAAGATTACAAGTCTAGTAAGCAGCAAAGTCATGATGTCTGGCTCCAATGCCTGTGCCCTTAACCACTCCCAGTACTGCTCTAGGAAAACTATGTAAGTTCACAGTAATAGAAGCAGAATCCTTTCTGAGGATCTATTACAGAGATCTCCAGAGAGTATGCTAAAATGGCCCTGCAAAGTCTGCGTAGCAAAATCAAATTATACTTCCATATTGTTCTTTACCAGTAAACCAGTTGCGATTGAGTCAATCTGTCTTATGGCAATCCATGTGTGTCAGAGTAGAACTGTGCTTCATAGTTTTTAATGGCTGATTTTTCTGAGGTAGATCGCTAGGCCTTTCTTCCGAGGTACCTCTGGGTGGACTCAAACCTCCAATCTTTCAGTTAGCAACCAAGCACATTAACTGTTTATACCACCCACAGACTCCTATTTATTGTTCTTTACATTATGCAAAATGGCCCTTCATTTTTGTAAAAAAATATACATTTGTGTATAGCTTTGCACCAAAATTTTATCCATGATTAATGTTAGGTTGTAGATTATGGATGGTTTTGTTTTCTTCCTCATCTCTTTTAATTGGTAAATTTTAAAATCAGGAACATATGTTACTTTTTTGATCAGAAAAAAAAAAAACAGTAAAGCAATTTTCATTTTGAGAAACAGAATCTGAAACAAATGAATTACCCGTTCTGCTTGGTGTCCGAAAGGTTGCACTGCTTCTCTCCAGCGGCCCATCAGCAGGCTTCCCGTGGGAATATGGTCTGCCACAGCTGAGAAATATTGGAGCATATTCAAAGAAGAAAATATTCTCTTTTCAAAAAAAAATCATAGGCACACACGATGTATGTGTACATTAAGATAGATAATAATAATCAAATATTTCTACCTTCTATGATTTGTTACATGGAAAAACTTCATTTGTTTTATACATAGATTCTGATATGCAGTATTCTTTTTTTTTTTCTTTTTGGTGAGAGAATGATCAATGCTAAGGTCAGAAACTTCTTTTTACTCTTATCCTTCCCCTTCTACGGTCTAGGGCATATCTGAGGTGAAACGACTAGCAGAATTTTGTTACATTATTTAGAAAATATGGGATAGGCCACTACCTACTTAAAATAGTGATTTTGGAGGAGTCAGCATGTATTTGGCCAAAAATATCTTTCCCAATTGAATACCCTAAAAAACCAAAATCCAAACTCACTGCTGTCAAGTTGATTCCAACTCATCGTGACTCCATAGGACAGAGAAGAATTGCCCCATTGGGTTTCCAAGGAGCAGCTGGTGGATTAGAACTGCCGACCTTTTGGTTAGCAGCCGAGCTCTTAACTACCGTGTCTCCAGGGCCCTACTTGAATATCCTAGTGCCTGATTAAAAGCCTCATTACTAGATTTATTTATTTGGGTTAAGACATTTTCTGTCCAAAGAGCCTCTAAAAAAAGTGAATAGATTAAAAGGGGAATAATAACACATTAATTTTATTTTTCACCATAAAATGAAAATGAATTTATTTTTCAGAATGGTCAATCACCTGTTAAGACCCCAAGGGAATGATTAAAGGAGAGGTATATTTCGAGATTGCTTTGGATATTCTAGGTTGGTTGCATGTACTTATACATTGACGAACTGATTTTTCTTAAGGTGCTAATGAATAAGTACTTTGTTAAGTAGTCTGTTCCAATCAGAAGTCTCTTGTAGGACTTGGAGAATGAGTAAGATTGATAGCATAAGGTGCTGGGTGAAAACAAAACAAACCAAAGAGGCCAAGGAGGCATACAGCGGGCAGACAAGAAAAATGAAGGTACTTGAGAGGGGCAGAATGTTCCTTAACTGAGAAGGTTGGAGGATGTAGGACACTTTTGCTTTCTCAATAGTTTTGATTATTTTCTAAATCAAAAAGTAATCCCACAAGAGGCCAGGCAAGGTCCTAAACTTCCTTCTTTCTTATTTATCTTGTGTAGAGACCTCATAGTTAGATTTTAATTCTGCATTTTGCTGCTGGGTTCTTTCCTTCTGTCTAATATCACAAAGGATCTCAGAGGGTTTTTGTTTGTTATTTAACGACCGTGTACTCATTCTAAAATGATAAAAGATGAGTTAGAGTTTACTGTTTAGTATCTTAAGTGTCTCATCATATTTTTCCCCCTGAATGGTGCTTGTATGTACAGTGGAGAGTAGATAGAGATAAGCAGTTTTACAGCAAGAGAGTAAGTAAATTCAATTTTAAAGACTTCCAAGTAAGTGGAAAAGTATTACACACAAAATATTTCTAATTATGCAATCTCATCAGTTTGACTGAGGGTAAAAAAAAAAAAAAGATAAAATGACAGGACCAAAGTTGGGAAAAAAGTACGTGCAATTGATGGGCTTACATTCTCAGATTAAACTTGGTAGTCTCTAATAAGTAGAGTTTATTGGTTTTAAGATTTTCATTGCAAGATAATATTTAAAAGGAACATTTAAATTAGTAGTTCAAATACACTAGCTCCTATGCCAAGAAAATAACTTGTTGCATAGACATTACAGCAGCCAAGAGACTAGGATTCAACGCCAAACCCATTGAGTTCAGCAGGGGAAACCACAATAATTAGTCGTGCGTTTCTGGAGCTCTCTGTGCCTACATGGGTGGCTGTCCTGAAGGCAATAATAAAACCTGGTTTGAATTATAGATTTATACAGCCCAAACAAATAAAACACACACTACTGGATTTATAAACATAACTGAACAAGTAGGCAGTGAAATGTCCTTGTTTTTCACTGAATATTCTTTTATAAAAATCCATTACATTTTGTTCTGCTAAGAAGAAAAAAAATAGTCTATATTGAGAAAAGCTATGTGAGTGTAAATATTTTCTAAACATCTTTCTCCTTTCTTTAGGCTACTTATTTCCCACAAGTCTGGAGGCCTCAGTGGGAATCTTCCTAGAAAAGCTAGAAGCAGATGTCCTTGATGCAGGTTCTTCTACTGGGTTTCATTTTGGCTCAGGATGTATACCACAAAACAATATTTTTAAGTGTGTTGCACCAAACACTAGATTCATGGGCAATTATTGGGTGTTAGCCTAAAGAAATTGGTTCTGTGATCAAATAAATTCACAAAATGCACAGATGTCTTTTTAGTAGAACTTCTCAGAGCTTTTAATAAAGGGACGTGTGTTGTGAATCTCTAACAGGGGAATATGATATGTCTCCCATATATTTTACTACACAATACATATTTTGTGGGGGGAAAAGACAGGATTAACATATTCCACAGAATTATTTTTCAAAATAGCGTCACAGAAAGGGCAGTAGAATAACTTTTGGATGGTGCAATAACTTTTTGTTCTGGCCCTCACCAAACAAACAAACAAAAATGATTTTCCTTTTTAAAATATTTGGAAAGAGAAAGAAAGCAAAAATAAAGATTATAAAATAAATAATATTCATTTAGCTTATAGAGTTCATAAACAACATGTCTGAAAACGAAACTTGTGAGGCTTAATCTCAGTTGCTAATTCTTAAAACTGAAGACATTGACAAAATTTGAGTCTGTGAACTAATATATGATGCCAGAAGACCAACTTGTCACTAATTTAATCAAATATTTGCCCTCATTAACCTTAGAAAAGAAATATCATTTTATTCAAGGCACTTTCATGATGAAACTTAGTTTAAAAACACTCAATCCTTTCCTACTTTAAAACTATTATTAATGCTCTAAGATCAATTATTCAAGATGAAGTTGTTCGTGAAGAATAACCAAAATATATTAATTATTAAGAGGAGATATTTCTTTCTTAGTGACAATGTTGGCAGGAGAAATACTCCTGTCATTCTAGGACACTTTGCAATTCTGTTTCAACATGATAGAGCAACCCGAGCAATTGCCTAATGCATTGAGAGGATGATTGGAGTCCGCCATAAGGAGTCACGTATTATTTGTACATTTTTTAAGTGTTTACATGTGAAATGCAAACAGATAAAACATGTTTACGATCAATATAAAATACTCCCTGGAGGGCAAATGAAAACCATTCCATCAAAATATCAAATTATACAAAATTGGTATAATTTTAAAATTATAGATTTTATGCATTCTCCATCAGAAAGTAGACCAAATATACCACTAATTATTTTGTATCAACTCCACAGTTTGAGTTATGGACTCCACACTTTCTATTAATACCAAAAAACAATTAAGTCTCTATTAAAGCCTATTCAACAGAAGACACGGTATCCTATACTTTCTTGTCATCTTCTCTGCAAACTTACACAGAGCTGTGTGGACTGGTGGTGAGTTTTCCTCTGCAGAAAACTACTGTAAACCCCAGTTAACAATATAAAACCCTTACCTGCTACATATAACAGGTGTAGTCAGGATCTGAGGGGATAGGTCAGGGGCACTCTGAGTGTAACATGTTAAGGCCCTGTGAGAACTTAGGCCTGGTTTGCCAGTTGTTTCTGCAGATTCTGGAAACTGCACCGTAGAAATTTTACTGATGGGGCTGCTGGCAGGAGTCCCTTGGATAGGTGAAGAACAGGGCGATGAGAGAGGTGAAATCTTAGCTAGGGCATCTGAGAAAAAAAAGAGAGAGATTAAATCACTAAATAAAGTCTTTTGAAATGCAAAACTGTAACTCTTACACCTCACCTCAGACTCCAGTTGACTCAATAACAACCATGTGCTCAGGGCACTTAGGCTGGTCTCCATGTGCCACCAGCTGGACACAGAGTGTGTGGCTGGGGTGTCTTCACAGCATGAAATAGGAGTGATGAATCATCGTGAAAAAATTGGTGGCAATGTTGGCAAGTCCAATTAAAGCCCTGGTGTCCTGGAGTAACTTCAGGACAGACGAATATTATTTTCTTTTCCCATTTGCGTTTGCTCTTGCCATTTTGACATGGTGATAATAGTTAACATTTTCTCATGTGTTTGCCTTCTCTTCGGTTATGAAGTCTTTTGGGCAGGAACAAGATCTGCTACGGTTTTAAGCACTAACCAGTATCTGGAGCAGAGGTGTGAAGGCATCAGACATGTAACAATATGTAAATAAGAAAATAAATTTTTGTGAGGTAATTAGCCATTCACATTTTCAGTGAAACAATACTTTGATCAAAATAGTTTCTGAAGAAAACATGAAAAAATGTATTGTAATCCATTTCAGATCAAAACAACACTCTTAAAACTACAATTTAAGACATTTAAAATTGTAAATGTGGATATTTGTGTCAAACTGGCAGTTTTTACTCTAAGCTGTGAGAATTTTACAGGACACTGGCTTAGATTTCAAAACACTGATGTCTTTTGAAGTTGCTCTCTCCCAAATATAGAGAAGGCAGCATATTCTTCAAATTCAAAAAAAGAGAGAAATAACTTCTGAACAACTAACTGATTACTGTTTTTCATGATTTTATGGCTGAGTAACCAACTTTAGGGCAAATGAAATGAAATCATTAAAAGTCATTCTCTGTTTCTCACTGCTCAGGGGAAATTTACAGCCAGAGACTTTTACATCATCCAATAATGCATGTGGCTAAGTGGCAGCTGGCTTAGAGCAGAGTTTGCTTCAAATGTCCACTCCCTTAAAAGTTTTATTTGTCACACCCAAAAGTTTTCTGGTCCACTGGAAGGAATATTAAGGTTGGTGAAGGGTTTTTGTAATTTTCTTTTTAAATTTCTTGTTGGCACTGTTATTTGTTTTATTTTGATTAAGTGGGGATAGTAGCAATCCCTTCCTAGACATTCTCTTATTTCTATTGTTGATTCCTGATCAACAAATCAACTCCCCTACCTTTTATACAACAAATGAAGCCACTTTAGACTCAGAGAGGTTAAATAATCTTCCCAGATGAACAATATTAGTAAGTGGAAGAATATGGAATAAGCCCAAATATTCTTAGTAAAATGTGGTTTATTACTTTTACTTTATTCAGTGACTACCCAAAGGGGAATAAAAATCTATTACTTATTAGAAATCATTAGTGTTGCTTTTTATAATGACAATTATGGTATTTATGTGATTTCCATAGTTATTGTAAAGATTTAGTTATTTCACCAAAAATACTGAAAAACTTTCACATTACATAGTTTCAATCAGCTGTCTTCCAGACCAAAAGAAAAATAAGTTTACTAATTTATAGCTTTTCAGAATTTTTCTTAATTTTGCAAAATTAGAACAAGTCCACAAAAACCAATATATGACCTTGAGTATATCCCACCTGAATTCAGAGACCATCTCAAGAATAGATCTGATGCGTTGAACACTAATGACTGAAGACCAGATGAAATGTGGAATGACATCAAGCACATCATACATGATGAAAGCTAAAGGTCATTAAAAAGATAGGAAAGAAAGAAAAGACCTAAATGGATGTCAGAAGAGAGTCTGAAACTTGCTCTTGAATGTCGAGTAGCTAAAGCAAAAGGAAGAAATGATGAGGTAAAAGAGCTGAACAGAAGATTTCAAAGGGCAGCTCGAGAAGACAAAATAAAGTATTACAATGACATGTGCAAAGACCTGGAGTTAGAAAACCAAAAGGGAAGAACACGCTTGGCATTTCTCAAGCTAAAAGAACTGAAGAAAAAAAATTCAAGCCTCGAGTTGCAATAGTGATGGTTCTATGGGCAAAATACTGAATGACACAGGAAGCAATGAAAGAAGATGGAAGGAATACACAGAGTCACTGTAGCAAGAAGAACTGGTCAATAGTCAACCATTTCAGGAAGTAGCGTATGATCAGGAACCAATGGTACTGAAGGAAGAAGTCCAAGCTGCACGGAAGGCACTGGCGAAAAACAAGGCTCCAGGAATTGACAGAATACCATTGAGATGTTTCAACAAATGGACGCATTGTTGGAAGTGCTCACTCATGTATGCCAAGAAATTTAGAAGACAGCTACCTGGTCTACCAGCTGGAAGAGATTTCATATTTATGCCTATTCCAAAGAAAGGTGATTCAACCAAATGTGGAAATTATTAAACAACATCATTAATATCACATGCAAGTAAAATTTTGCTAAAGATCATTCAAAAGTGGTTGCAGCAGTACAGTGACAAGGAACTGCCAGAAATTCAAGCCAGATTCAGAAGAGGACGTGGAATGAAGCATATCATTGTTGATGTCAGATGGCTCCTGGCTGAAAGGAGAGAATACCAGAAGGATGTTTACCTGTGTTTTACTGACTGTGCAAAGGCATTCATCTGTGTGGATCATAACAAACTATGGATAATGTTGTGAAGAATGGGAATTCCAGAACACTTACTTGTGCTCATGAGGAGCCTGTACATAGATCAAGAAGCTGTCATTTGAATAGAAGAAAGGGATACTGCATGGTTTAAAGTCAGGAAAGGTGTGCAAAATGGTTGTATCCTTTCACCATACTTATTCAATCTGTATGCTGACCAAATAATCCGAGAAACTGGACTATATGAAGAAAAACGGGGCATCAGGATCGGAAGAAGACTCATTGACAATCTGTGATATGTAGATGACACAACCTTCCTTGCTGAAAGTGAAGAGGACTTGAAACACTTACTGATGAAGATCAAAGACTACAGCCTTCAGTATGGATTACACCTCAACATAAAGAAAACAAAAATCCTCACAACTGGACCAATAAGCAACATTAAAACAAATGGAAAAGAAAATTGAAGTTGTCAAGGATTTCATTTTACTTGGATTCACAATCAGTGTCAATGGAAGCAGCACTCAGGAAATCAAATAACATATTGCATTGGGCAAATCTGCTGCAAAAGTTCTCTTTAAAGTGTTACAAAGCAAAGGTGTCCCTTTAAGAACTAAGGTGCAAGCTACGGTGTTTTCAATATCCTCAAATGCACGAGAAAGCTGGACAATGAATAATGAAGCTCGAAGAATTGACACTTTTGAAATTATGGTGATGGAGAAGAATATCGAATATACCATGGACAGCCAAAAGAAGGAACAAGTCTGTCTTGGAAGAAGTACAGCCAGAATGCTCCTTAGAAACGAGGATGGCGAGACTTCGTCTCACATATTTTGGACATGTCATCAGGAGGAACCAGTCCCTAGAGAAGGCCATCATGCTTAGTAAAGTAGAGGGTCAGTGAAAAAGAGGGAGGCCCTCAATGAGACTGATTGACACAGTGGCTCCAACAATGGGCTTAAGCATAACAATGATCATGAGGATGGCGCAGGACCCGGCCATGTTTCATTCTGTCCTACGTGGGATCCCTGTGAGTCGGAACTGACTGCAGACACCCAACAACAACAACAAATTTTAGCTCAGAGTTTCCCAACAATGCGTCACTGCGTGCAGTGAGTTTCAAGCGTGTTATGAAGTACTAATGGTTGTAAATTTAAAAAAGAAGAGGGAGAAGGAGAATGTGAGGGAGCAGAAGAAGAAAACAAGGAGAAGGAGGAGGGGCAGGTAGGCCATGGCAACGTCTTAATCTTTGTGTCAAAAAAACAGAGAGACTTTGGGTGTGCATTGCTATAGACCATTCCTTCATCTTTTCTTATAGCAAATTGCAAATTTTTAGACAGTTTTCCGCTGCCTTTTTTTTTTTAAACAGAACTGTAGTTCAAAGCCTGTGGCAACACTCTCCATTTCTGTCTTGACACAATGTATTTTTTTGAAAGCAATTTATAGGAACAGTGTTTTTTTTTGTTTTTTTGTTTTGTTTTGTTTTGTTTTGTTTTTCATTGCTAATTTTCAGCAGCTGCCAGCTGGTATCTTCAGAAAAATGCAATTTACCTTAAACACAAATTTAAAAATCCACTCAACCATTAGAGTTCTTGGAACTAACGGATTAACTAAACTTAAACAAATAAGTAGAATTTAAGACTCCAAACTTACTGCCTAGAACAAACTTTAAAATAAACCTTGCAACACAGGATAAGCTCTAGGCCTCTGTAGTACTGTTAGTTTACATATTTTGATAACTTTTAACAAGTGTGAATCTTGGCCACAACCCTGAGAAGCAAGGGTATTTTTTACTCCGTAGGTGAGAAAATAAAAGTATAAACATAAATTCATTTCTTCTAAAGCCAAACCACTATTTCTAAGTATGTACGTTATCATAGTTTACCTAAAGTTTAAAAAAAGAATTAGGAATGCCAGAGGTAAAGATATACTTTGTATGGATACACATTTATATATATATATTAGTTTTCAAATAAATAGAGAGATATAAATGCAGATAGTAAACAAACACTCTTTCTGGAAAGGTCTGACTACCAATAAATGATTTCAGACACAGAGGAAGGATACTCCAAGGAAATGGGAGGAACGGTCTCTTTGCAAGTCTTTCAAAAGGGGTTATTTTCTAAGATGTTTTAAGTGTAATCATGTCTAAATTTAGAGAGATGAACTGTATGACCTTCTAAAGTCTCTTCCAACTTCATATTGAACACTTACATTTACACACATGCACACATGAGTGAAGAGATTCAGATAAACACGCAATCTCTCGAGTTTATTTATCTTCATTTATATTTGAGTAATTTTAAGAGATGCCAGGAAAAAGACATAGCTCATGAAATATAAACCTTTGCATGATTCAAACTGCCCTAATGTGAAGTATTTAAAAATA